CTTCTATTCCTTTGGACCATTCCATTTCCAGGAAACACAACTAACAGAACGAAGCAATGGGGATAGAAATCAGATTGGTGGGTGCCTTTGGGAAGGAGGGCACCCTGGGTGCAAAGGCAATAGCCTGCCTCCATTTTAATCTGGGTCAGGGGTTGGCACACTGTGGCCTGCCTACATGTGGCTCTCAAATGGAGAGGGAACTCTGGTCGTTTCATTGATACAGCTTTGGAAAGGCTGTTATTCAGATCTCGGTGATCTCAGGCTCTCGAATACTTTGCAAATTGTGGCGAGGGAGAGGATGGGCTCCTCTGTCTCAGACGTTTGCCGCGCCCTGACCTGGGTGGTGCTTTCCCGGGTGTGAAAGGAGCACAATTTCATCCTGTGAATGAGTGCTGTGTGTGCACTACGGAGCCCCAGCTGTGGAGCCTATTCCGACTCCGTATGGAACTACTCCACCGAGTCTCGGAGGCTGTCGATCCTGACAGGTCCAGACTGCCTCCTCTTTCCCCAGGGAGCGGCGCAGAGCCGAGACCACCGAGCTTTCAGCAAGCAGCCCAGTGCTAGGTACAAGACAAGACAAGTCCCTCTGCACTCCCAACTGATCCCTGTTGCCCCCTTAGGGCAGAGAGGACCCCACTACCATTGCAGGACTCCCAGCCAGGCTCAGAGCAGGTAGGGGTACCTGGGGGGGGGGGTGGACTCAGGGTCTTGGAGGCACCTGGCCCAGAGCTCTTCCCACCTGCTGGTATCTCAGGTGTCTGGGAATGGTCCCCATCCCCTGCCCCCTCACCCCAGGTGGTTCTTGAATCCTGGGTCCCCAGCTGGTGGCTCAGGGCCTCTGGGGACAGTGAGCCGGGCTGTTTATGGTGGCCCCATCACCAGGTGCTGGTACTCTGCAACCACTATATCTACAACACAGGTGTGGGAGGAGGGCCAGGTTCCAGAAGTAGCTTTGGATTCCAGCTCAGCCACCGAGAAGCTGAGTGACCCAGGAGAGGGGAAGGGTGTCTCCTTTCTGAGCCGTAGCTCCTTCCTCTCAAAATAGGCTCCCAGGGCCCACCTCCTGAGGGGCTGATGGAGGGCCATGCCTGGCCCACGGGGGGTGCCAGGGGCCAGAGCGCTGCCCTGGCCTTGCTGCTGCCTGTTCTGTGAAAACAGCGCACTGAAGCAGTGTCTGGACCTAGCGAGTGTGCAGGAGCCACGTGCCCCGTCTGCCAGGCTCTCTTTCCCCTCACTGGCCTATTGTGCACTGTCTATGTCCCCACCCACTTGCCAGGGACCCCTCCTCTCCCTACCCCCAAACTGCGGATCTCC